TGCACGCACATGAGTACACGCACACCTACGTGTGCGTCGCGTATGGGTTCCCACACTTTCGCTGTACTCCATAAGCGCGCCTTTGACGACATTCCTTGCACACGCGGTGTGTTTCCTTCCAACCGAAAGGACGAGCTGCTCCGCTGCTCCTCTAATTAGAACAAACGTTGCGTAACAATCGTTCGCGTTTTAACAGACGTTCCATTTATTTGTTTTTTAAAACATATCATACCTCTTTGTGCGTGTTTTGACAAGCCTCGCTCCGCGCTCTCACGAGTGTATAATTAAAAATAACGTAAAAACAGCGAGGGACGTATATACGTCCAATCATCTTTTTCTCGATGATCATTACTCGATGATTTACACAGAGATTCCACAGGTTGCACAATTGCAACAGCGATTTGCAAATAGAGAATTGACGTAAGCAGTACGAGACATAAGGAAATGTATTCTTGAATCTAGTAACCTGATTTATCGGTTCACTACGTGTCGGGCGGAGTTCTATCTTTTTTTTTTTTTTTTTTTTTTAATTCTTATTATCTCGCAGATTATTATTGTAATATCACGACATAGTTGAGAATATTACCGCAAAACACCGATTCGGATAAAAATGATAAAAATGTAAATAACTGCGATTCTTTATCGTTCGTGTGATTTAATGAAAATAGAAAACATCAGATCTGTTTTTCAAATTAATTATGCATTAAAGATTTATTAATGTAATATGCATAAGAAAATAAGAAAGAAACAGTCAGGTTTTTTTCATAACAAATCCCCTTTTTATAATTACTTTATATATATATATATATATATAATAAACTAATTTATATCACGAATTTGTAATATAAATTGTTATAAAATAAAATTGACGGTTTTTTTAGATTAATTTATCTATACAAGTTATTTCTTTTTGCTATATCTTTCTTTCCTCATTATTTGACTACGAATTAAAATTTACAGATTTTCTAGATAAGGACTATTTCCGCTGCGCATTGTTAATATAACATAATCGTATCGATTTTACATATAAATGTAAAACACAAGGTTTTTCTCACGTCGCGTTTATGTATCGCATGCGTTTATAGATCGCGTAAAAAGAATATTGCGAGCGCTATCGTTAGTTCATCGCTACCATTGAGACGTGTCTCCTGTCATTAAAGCGCGATAGAAGCTCAGGTGGCAATTAAGAAACGGGATCGCCGCAAAGCTGTCGCAAATCTATATATTTACGGATACATTATACGTGATTTTCGATCGTTTAATAACAGCGATCGTTCTAATCTCTCGGCAGGCTCTCGCATGCGGAATGATCCAATATGCAAATCGTAATTATATGCGTTATTTAAGGTACTTCCACGACGAGATCGGCTAAATTATTAACAGGAAGAACGAGATTAACGAGGCGATGTTGATGAACGCGATAAATCAACTATTTTCCACGCCATTCGTTTCTTTTATTCCTCTCGAAGAGAGGGGACACTCGTTGACAGACGGGAATTCAGGGAATGGATATCTGGTTTCGTTTTATCGAAGACAATATTAATTCGCAATCCTTACGATATCGTTAAAGCGTATATCGATAACGTTCAGCTCGTTGAACAGTTAATGGTGGGTATAAATCGACAGGTTGACTCACGTGCAATTTACCGTATCGCAGTAATGCGACGGTTTATAGCAACAGCACTGCCGGCACAATAGATTATATATGACAAAACAATGTGAATTATTATCTTGAATTTATACGTCACTGTATGCTAATTGGCGTACTGTATCGAGTTATCGGATATTTATATTATCGTATCCTTATTCAGACTGACATATTCAGGTTGCACAAGTAAGCCGTCCAAAGATCATGTAAAGGATTGTGCGAGAGATCGATGTTTGGTAATCATCGGATCACCGTAAAATCATAATCAAATGGGGCGTGCTTTGACGCAAGACAAATTTCCAAGATATTTATTCTAGATTTGGCCTGGACGAAAGTGAAAATTTCCGTAAGATTTCCATAAGGCGACAAATTGATGAATATTTTTTTCTTTATTTTGAATTAGTTTTTTTTTTTTTTTTTTAATATTTTGATTTTTGAATTATTTCTCTTTAAGTTGATATTTTTGGAGGGAAATAATGAAATTTTCCTTGAAATGCTTTTCTCGACGAAGTCGCAACCCTCGAACCTCTTCGTGCTCGAAGCGCGCGTGTCGTCGTAGTCGAGCGCGGCCGCCACGCCGCCTCGCCGCGCCTCGAAGAGAAAAGCACGGCCGATGTTTTATGGAAGCCCTGCCGACCATAAATTATAATCAACGTCCGTGGCAACACTCTAACAAACTTCCACGTCATTAGGGCACTGCTGGCGGGGGGGGGGTGCGGGGAGGCGATTGTACGCGCGCGTACGCATTTGTTGCGTGCTCGTTATTAAGCGCTCTCTCCCGCGGCTGGGATATCCCGTAGGAGTCTCTCCTTCCTTCTTCCTCCCTCTCACTCTGATTATAGCGCGATATCCGGTGCGAGAAGTCTATTGTCACTGTCGTAACACGGAAGAAAGGAGGACGTCGCGTCCAGCTGAGCTCACGTGGTCCGCCTTTGACGAACGTCCGGGAAAATCGTTCAGAAATGAAATCGCGATGAAAAGTCGGATGAGAAAAGCGAGAATGAAGGAAGTGAAATCGTTTTTTCCAGAGTTAATTATCATAATTAAAGATTCGAGAGCGATCGCAAAGACAAGTGGAAAGAATTTTCTTCAATGGGAAACGTAAAACACTACAATGTAGGTACAAGTCAAATTGAACGTTCGTGTTTAGCGTTAAATATAACGAGATACAAATGGTAGCCTCTTAATATTTATTTTCTCGTAGCACTTTGTTTGTGCCGGCTCTTCTGCCTTGCGAGACTTCAGACCGACGCCGCGTGTCTAAACTAAAAATCCATTCATCCGCTTAAATGACTCATCCAGGACGATCATCAAGCGTAGACCGTGTAAATTCGCCTTGATGCGCGCGCTATTCCGAAGAGATGATTTCATCACTGCGCCCTACGAAACAAGTGGGCGTCGCGAGGAATGTAATTCTCCGGAGTCACGGCGCGGAGGAGGGAGTGCAAAGACGTAAAGGCGGTAGAGGTAACCTTCTGCAAATTACAGCGACAGTAAATCGGAAAGCGTTACATTTTACCGCTCGCGATAAATCATGGCAAAAAACGCAACGATTACGCTTATAATCGCTATATATCGCATTGTCATTGATGCTGATTAGTAAAGAATCACGCCGGGAAATTTGCATAATAAACATATTTTATACAGATACATGCCTCGAATAATAATAAATTGAAAACGTAATTTCTAGTTAAGGTAATTTCTGAAAGTAAATTGAAAACATAATTTCTAGCTAAAATTCAAAATAAAATCATTCAAAATGTTTTACAAAAAATACAAAAGAGTGCATATAAACAATCCTTAAATGAATTGAAAATAACTGATACAAATAAACTTATTCGAGAAACATATAAATATATTAATCCAATCATACAAAATATTCAGATTAAAAGTTAATCGTATATGAAAGAAATTTATTATTAAGAAAGTTTTTTTTAAAACGTGAATCATCGACAAAATCTTATTTTTTTATAACTTAAAAAGAAATTTATATCGCATTCATCATTATCAGACTATTAAAATTTAAATAATGTGTTTCCGTCAAATTTTGGTTATATAAAAATAATTGTAAATTTACCGTAGGAGACGAATACTTTCTACATTCTTTCTGTGTCAATTTAGCGAGCCAATTGACAATTTATGAATTATGTTACATAAATGTTTATTTCGCAACAATATTGCCGGCTTATCGTTATGTGGATATTAATGCATGGCGGGATGTAAAAGTTACGTGTAAATATTGCGGCCGCGTTACGGAACCGGTATACAGGAAGCTACCCGTTTAGTTGTGCGTTTTTGCCTTTCGTACCGGATATGATCAATGTTGCTAATGAGAAAAACGATTACCGGCAAAGAAAAAGGATGCTTCCACCATCACCATATAGAAAAGCGGTTTTACATTCGCGTTATTTCGCAGAGATGATTTCATCGGCACGCTTTATGGGACGAGCGTACGCCGTACCTGCTCCAAGATGTAATAGAGTTTACGAGGATGTTGTATAGTTCACAAGCAACCTTAATACTACTTTGCCTGACAGATGTAATGTCCGTTAACTTACAACGTATAGGTAACAGGAAGTAAGTCTCTATTGGTCGCTATTTTAAACATATACAATCTGCTTTAAAAACGTGTGTTTTCTGCAGCTTGACTTTTCCTTGGTCAAACTCACAGTGGACGTCGTTTTCCTTACTTTTTCTATTGAACTATTCTTTAATTTTCAAATTGTAATGTACTGTTAAATTAAAGTCAAAAGTTGATTAATTAAATGAAAATTCAGATATGTATCTTTTTCAAGGATAACAATTCCAATTCTAATTTTTAATAAAAAGGATTTTTGTTGTAAGCAAACCTCAGCGAAAATAATTGTTTGTATATAAAATTTATATGTAAAAAAATGTTAAATATATGTAAAATAATGAAAACTTGAAAATCAGGAATAGAAATGAATATGTATAGAAGTGATTATATAGCAATATAACACGCTTATTCATCGTTTGCTTAATAAAACGATAAATCATAGCAATATATTAATATTTAATTATTACGAGACTATATGTATGACTCAGATTGATTTCTAACGTTAGATGACCTTTTAATAAATAAAATAGTCTTTAATTACTTTGTGATTAAGTTTTCCGAAATGTTGCAATCTGTGAAATCGTAATAGACTTAATTATAAAACCTAATTATAAAATTTAAAAGACAAGCATTAGCATTTTGAAGTCTTGGAGTTATTCAAAAATCACTAAGCATTTTATAATAAAATTTTGATTGATACAGATCTACATGTCATTTTCTCTTTTTAACCATCAAGATGAAACGAATTCGAGAGAAATAAATGAGAGCACTCACCTTCCACTAAGGATGTTAAGAGCGTGACGTTGGCGGCCTTCCTTCTACCGGCTGGCAGATTCAAACCAATTTTTTCCAGTTTTTCCCTAAGCAGACGCCCGCCATTTTTGGATTTCGCCCTGCAAAATGCGAAATATATTTTTGCACAATCTGTGTGTAATTTATTTTTTTTTTATTTCTTAACAATAGCATTAAGACACCGTGTGTATGTGTCATTTTTTCTAATTGATAAAACATTAATTTATATAAATGCAAATATTAGCGAAGAGATGTTATTAAAAAATTTAATATTTCAATTCTCTACAGTTATCTACTCCGACTTACGTCAGCGTGATCAATTTATTTATTTTTACGGGATTTATTGGATTATCGTCACATATTTATCGATCAATTATTTCTCTTCCGTCCGCAAAATGCTCGTTCAGACATTCGCGAACGCCCACGTTTGGCCCGTTCCGGCGCGTGAGAATTTTAAAACGTAATTCCTCCATTAATCATTTTCGCTGTGATCTCTAAAAGGATCGAAATCGAGGTGCGAAAGAGAGAGATAGCGGCAACGAGAGGGAAATATGGACTGGATTAGCATAATCCGCGGACTACGTGTGTCATTGGCGATTGGGCAAGCCCGACGCACGCGTTCGAGGATGCGCTCGTACTGTTCATGCACGTGCGTTTTGTGAAATAGGATCGAGTCTGAAAGAGAGAGGCATTATTATGGTCTTCGCACAGAGCTCGGCTATTCAAGCCAAAGCGTTGAATGAGTACAATTTTTACCGGTACTTCTATGATCTCCTCCAATCGTGTATCTGAGTTAATTCTGAGTTCGTTGAGGAACGGCAACGCGATCGTGTGAGGCGATCCGTAAAGATTTACGTTTGACGATTAATTAAAGTTAAGATTTCTTCGCAGTAATCGTGATTTCGGTTAATCAAATGCGTCGTTTATTTATTCCTCGCCTCAAAGGCCGTTTGATGATAAAGTGACATTAAGATTAAACCAAATTAAACATCAGTATTTAATCTTGTGCTCACAAACAGGAATCATTAACGAACTTCTATGTTAAACAACTTTAGAAATAGCTTCATTAGCTAAATAAATGGCTCTTTATCTAAGAAGAAGTGTGTCTTTTTTCAACGTTGTGTGTGGTAGCGATTTAAATTCTCGAATCGAATAACTTTTTTTTTTTATATGAATCTGATGAAGAATGAGTAATTTTTGATGGTTAAATACTACATGTGTTTGTAAATTAAAAGTTTCAATTCTTCGCTTCGCGTTGAATTATATATATCGGATATATGTGTCTCATAAGTATTTCTTCGGATGAAGTCAACCTCATAAAAAAAAATTGTGTTTTAATCCTTTCACCGTGGACTTGCACGGCAACCTCGTCGTGTCGTTAATCCGAAGTAAGAAGCCACGAAGTAAAATTTTTTTCGTGGAACACCAAACGGGAACGGGCGATAGTAGCAGCGACTTCTTTCTTAACACACCCTTCCATCCATCATTCTGGCCTGTTATAACGGTAACGCGTATCGCCCACCTTTGTTCGGTTCGGCTGTTTCGATCCGCCCGGTAATCTTTCGCCTCGCATGGCAATTAATACGTTTTACCGCTATGGGTTTTTAATATCGGGCTCCTTCGCATTCACGTTCCGGCGGCGTTACTCTTGTTTTATTTTCCCTTAATCACATCCTGTATGTCGGTGACATTATATTCATTTTTAGACGGAGCCGAAGAGAGGGCCGTTAATTATCCCTATATCGATCACTCTTTTGATTGAAGGGCATGTCTTCGTGTAATTTAAATATACAAAAATTTATTTTTTAAATATATTGTATAATGTATACGGAATATATAAATATTCGTTACATTGCATTCCCTTATTAGCTTCCTAAATGCGAGTAAAATCTTGTCTAAATTTTTTTTAATAATTACTTTCAGCAATCAATCTAGATTGTATTATAAATACTTCCTGTACATTTTTCCTACCAATTTATACTATCACGATCAAAATAAAAAAAAAATCTAAACTCAGATACTGACAAAATTATTAAATTTTCAATATTTTGTTTAGTTGCAATTAATATACGAGGCACATAATAAATCGTGGTCGTTGATACGCGTACAGAAAAAAAATTGGTTTTAAACTATACGGCGATAATTGTAATCGACTGATCGAGTGGTGATTTGTAGGGTGCAGGATTCTGCATGTCCGAAAAAAATTCCATCAACGACAAATCGATTCTGGCACGAGACGTGCGCGTGCGACCGGATCGAATTCTCGATACTTAACGATCACCGTCACCGTCGTTTCTCGTCACCTACGTGACGAGAACGGCGCTGCGATTCATTATCGAGTCTTGTCCCGAGAAGAATTCTCGTTCCCACTCAGACGCAGACTCGCTCTCCTCTTTACACAAGGGCTTCCGCGAGATTCGCAACCCTCGGCGCCGATTCCACCGATAGGAAGATTCCGAATAGCGCGCCGGGATTCCTCGTTCCCCTGATTGCTCGAGACGTCCTCGAATACCCGGCATCGTTAATCGTCTACGAACGCCACGCGAGCACGTTAGCAAATCGAGGGATCACTTCATGATCAAGGCTCAATTCAAATATCCTCGAAGGTCGGTCGTTTCGCGAGATTAGCAACGGTAAAGTATATAACGCACACGAGCGAAATGTTTACAAATAATTTACGGAAATTTTCCTCGTTTCCACAATGCTAATTTTATAATATATATATATATATATATATCACATATTTTAATTCAATATGTGGATTTTGTCGATTCTACACTGTTTACTTCAATATTATTAATATTCTACATTATTAATTTCCTTTTTTACTTAACGTAGTCAATTTAAATATTATATGTTTCTTGAAAATTTCCAAGTAAGAGGCAATACAAATTTAGAAATTATGTTTTTAAATCTCTTCCTCTTTAATGAAAAATTATATTAAAATTATATCTAAAATTTTATTATAAAATTTATCTTATAATTTATTCCCAAGATATCTGAATATCTTGAGGATTTAAAAAATTGTAAACTTTTTATTGACGTCTTACTTAATCAAGGAAGCAATATCGTCATCAGAATGTTGCTCGCGCAAACAAATTAGACCGACAAATTGATTGATCGATCGGTATTATATTTCTATGAAAATCAGATTTAATGAGAATCACGCCGGAAGAATACGCGATAGATTCTTTGTCATCGTCATTTTTTCTTATAAAAGTGAAACTTAATTATAGTATAATATAACTGAGTAACTAGCAGTATTAGCATAACTGTAGCTTACATAATAATCAGTATACGCATTTTATCTAATTTAAATATATCACGATACAGAAAAATAAAGAAATAAATTCTAGATCGACAAAACTTCTGTCAGTTTATTTTATTCTTGAGTTTAATCGATAACTTTATATGCGATATATGCGCTTTTTCTTTATTACGTATTTCTTCTAAGCAACTAGTCGTCAAGTCTGACATTTATGGAACAGATGAGAGTTTTGCTAAAAAAGAATATAAATTTCATACGAGATAAAAACCTAATAGGCCATTCCACGTTGACATTCGAGAAATTGCGCATTTCAGAACATTTTAAATATAAAAAAAATTAGAATGCATCCTTGAAACATCTATACTTTTTAACTAATAATGACTCACAAAAAATAATTCAAGTGATGGCACATAATACCATTTAGATACGTTATTATTTCGTCGAGTTATTCCGACAAGTTTTTTTTTTTTGCTTGCCATTTATCTTGTAACTCATATTTATCTACTTCTGTTTTATGTTTATCCATCTTGCCTCTTCACAAAGGAGCCAATCGGCTCGCTTCGGCGAATCTTGCAATCGCGGACATTTCCTAGTAGATGTTACGCCAATCGGCATAATGGGATGCCGACACTTGTTCGTAGTTGTAATTCATGGAGAGCAAGCTGGTGCCTATACGTACAACCAAACGAAAATAAATACAGCGCGCTGAGAAAGCGCGCGCGCGCGCGCGCGCGCGCGCATTGCGAAACGGCGCTCAGAGCGATCGAAAATCGGTCGGTGCGAGAACAAAACGGAAGGCGCGAAATATATCTCCGACAAAAGCGCCTCGTACACACATACATACATACACGCGTAGGTAGATTCGCGAGCAATAACGGCGCGATCGATCTTTCGCGGCGAGATGATCTCTCGCGGCGTATTATGAGCGCGACGAGGTCCCGGACCCTCGTGGACGCGAGTCGCCGCGAACGAGGTGGGAGAGACAAAAGGAGAGTACGGAGGAGACGAAGGAGAGAAAGAGAGAGAGAGAGGAGGGGGGGAGGGGGCGAGGAAGGGGGGAATCTACGGCTGTACGAGTGCCTCGGCCCGGCGCGCGTGTAATTATCGGCCAGATCGCTATGCGAACGGATGAATTATAACGTCGCGGCCGGTGCGAGATGCCGCGCGCTCGCCCCGAGGCGCGCTCGCTCTCGCACTGGCCGAGGATTTGACACTCGCAGCCGTGCGGATTATTAATGTCTCATTTGCATCGGCGGGATGGATCGGCCCGGTTTTATTTAGCGATAAGCGGTTATTATGCGCGAGGGATTCGCCACGCTCCGAATCGCCGATACGCGAAGAAGACGCGCACGACAATTGTCGAAAACGACAATTTTTTTTCTTTCACCGCGCGCGGAAATGACGCGTTCTCTTCTCGAGGGATGTATCCCGCGACGAATAGAATTAGTCCGGGCTCGACGAAACCGCCGTCGGCTCATGAGCTTCCTTTTTTTTTTTTGTCCTGCGATCTCGTGTAAACTTCTTATGTAGGGTTATAGTAGGAAAATGTTACCGTTCGCTATTGTTTTGTTCAAATATCTTTCACGTCAGATTAAGGCACTGTGTAACAAAGCGAATTTATCGAATCTCTCGCGAGTTTGCTTGTGATATATTGCGAATTTTTCCGAGAGGATCGCAAAATAGTGGAGCGAGAGAAGGGAGGAGGGGGGGGGGGAGGCAAGGGAGAAGCAGGCGCGCGTGAATTCGCGATGTTTCAACGGTAATTTCATAATGCCTGTTGCGAGAGAAGAAGAAGGACTGGGCGTATGAAAAAGTCGTATGTACAGAGTGCGTGGAAGTGTATCTGGCCGCTTGTGCACGGCGATTTATCCACGCCTTTGATGATAAAGCATTGCGCAATGAGCAGTGCTCCAGCGGGATAAAACGGCGAATCAGATAAAGGAGGGGTGCCTCTCCCATGAGGAGCGGTCTATAAATCAGGTGGCTGTCTGTGCTTGGTTGGGCACAAGAGGGCCGGATGAGCTTGGACGCGCGCGGGTTTATTAATTAGTCCCGCGGATAAAGCCGTGTAACAACGTGCACGTCGTGAGCGTTTTACGTGCGCGCGCGCGCGCACGCACGCATTGTCCCGATCGCGCGCCCCGTCAGTTATATTACGATTACCCCGATACGCGCGGCCGGAAATGTCGTGCGGTTAATGCAACCGTGCCGTGTGTTTTCGTATTTCATTTCTTACGACCGCGACGCGCGGTGCCGTGACAGGCCGCGATATATCCGGGATCGCGGATTGTCGCGTCTTCAATGCGCGCCTCCGTAGAAAGGAGCCGATATGCCGCGCTCGTTATTATCCCGTTTTTCGCCCCGACGGGCGGAATATTCATGAGAGATCACGAGATCGAGTCCCATTTTCATTCCGCGTGCGCGACATAGTGCGGCCTAGAGAGGATACACAAACGTGAGCGAATCGCAGCGAGAGATCCGTGTCGATATGTATAAATTGGACGTCTTGCAAATATTTCTCTCATGTTCGCTAATTCTTTGATCTGACTTCAATCTGGCTCGGAATTTTCTCTAATTAGTCAAATAGCGCTCCTTCTATGATTTCGTGATGTTTACGTATCGACTTCGTATCGAACAATGGCGCTCCGTACGAGGGCAGTCTTTGATCTTTCTGCCGCGCGTATTCTCACGGAAATGACATTTAATTCTTCGAGTGTAATGGCAAATTACCCTAACGGTTTGTTTATGGGCTGCCGAGAGCCCGAGGGTCCAAAGTGTGCGTGATTAAAAACGGATGAATGAACCGCTCGTTTTCTGTCTTTCTCTCTGTGCTCGGAGAACTCTGCCCGGAGGAAAAGGGGGGGGGGAGGGGAGAGAGAGAGAGAG